ATAAGCCCAGAACACTGAGTTTCAAACTTTGGTAATATTTGGCAATAAGGAACATGCGCCAATTAAATGCTGACATGCATGATGTTAACATAGTACTCCTTAATTCCCCCTTACAAGACGGGAGTTGATGCCCGTTAATGAGGTTACTGGTGTGCGTGACCCTGTCAGCTACAGGGCTAATAGGGTGTTACTACCAGACCTACTCTTTACTACCATGGTAATGTCTGTTTTTAATAATTTAACTCAGGAATAATAATTTGCAATGTAAGAAATTACAAATTCAAATTTACATCTAGTCCTTTTTCATCCATTTGTAATCTCCACAAAGTTTGTTTCTGTTCTGTGCATGTGCCTCTGCAATGGAGTCAGTGATTCTGGATATTAGAATCCAACTACAAGTAGGTGAAAATCGTTGCTGAATTCATTTCTAAATGTGTGACTTCCATGAAGGAGGTTGTGTTTTCACGCCTGTTGGTTAGTTTGTTTGTTTGTCAGCAGGATAATGTGAAAACTACCCAAAAGATTTCCACAATACCTGCAGGAACATGGGCCAAAATAGAACCCACTGAATTTGGCACAGATCTGGACAAAGGGGAGGATCCAGGAATCTTTTTTTTCACTTTCTTTAGCAGTGCAAGATCAAAGACAATTACACAAATTTCCTAGGGAATAACTCATAGAATTAGGGGACTGAAATATGTGAGTTTGTGCAGTGTGGGGCTTGGTTGACTTTAAGGGGCCTTAGTGCAGGTATGCCTTCTACTTAGTGCTGTTGTCATTGTTAATATTTGAGTTATTGAAAGGAATAAACCCTCCTCGGTCCCTCAAGCCTCAAACAGAACGGGCAGGAGGGCATTCAAGTAAACAAGTCTGTGATGTAACCATGTTACACTTTGAGGACAAACAGCATTTGTTAGCAATGGCATTGAAGAATAAAAGGGGGGGGGGGGGACTATTTAGCATCTAAACAGTGTTGATGTTTGCAGGCACATTTTGAAACTGCTCTGTACGCTACCGCTGTTTATTCGCTGTTGGCCATTTAGAAATTTTGGCAGAATGCTAAACAAGGGTGGGGAAAAGGGAAGAATTCTTGAAACTAAATCTTAGAAGCACTCACACATTATTCCAAAAAATAATAACACCCCATTTAGAGAGTTTTAGAGAAGACATTTGTATTCTGTTGCAGAATAAAAAGAAACAAAGAAGTAAAACTCAGAAAAACTTGCAGCCTAATTCCATTTGGACTTGAGGAGTTTGAATTGAGTCCTCATCCAAATTCACTAATAAGACATTCATGCGTCTGTCACACAGTTGGCTGTGCCTGAGGCGCACAGTCCCTGAACTAACCTGCCTGTAACGTATAGAATCAGATCAACAGAATACCTCATTTTATCCCTAGCAGCCTGACAGGAGTCTGTCTCCTCACCACTTCTAGTCATTGCCAATGATCGACAAATTCAAAACTATCAAAAAAAGACACTCTGCAGCTCTCTATCTGTACTTACCTTTTCAGAAGCTATGCAATAGCCTTGAAATACACGATATTTTGATATAATTGTGACTGTGTGGTACATAATGGACTCCAGAACCCATTCAAGTAATTCAATCATTCATAAAACTCAAATAATTTATAGACCTCATCCTTTCTTGCCAACATTTCTGTCTTCTCAGTCTGTTTGCCTCTTCTTTTAATCCCCCTCTTTCTTTATAGTTTGCCAACAGCTCCTCACCAGCACTTCCCCTCTGGAGACGGGGGAATTTAAAATATGGATCCTTCAACACTCTGCTTGTCATCATCCAACCACATGTGCACACGCACACAGAGCAGTGCACATTTCATCAGACAGGTGTACTCAGTGGTATTGATGGTTCGATATCACATTCATGACCAGTATGTAGTTTTCATTCCCTGTACATCTGCACCTGTAATACATTGAACATCTAACTGCATACCATACCATACAATCCATGTGATTTACTTTTGATTTTGATGAAGGCTTGACTGACATGCATTTCAGATACACAGTTTCAGAGCGTGTCCTTGAAAAACCTGTTCAGTCTTGTGTAGCAGTACAAAATGTGTTTTTTGTGAGTTTGTTGTTACATGCAGTATAGATTATGCAAAATGATGCAAGAGAAGTGCAACTCAAAAGTACTTAAAATAAAGTGTAAATGGCCTCATGACAAATTACAAAAGTAACATAAGATAACACAAAAATAGAAATAAGAGGGTAAAAGAAACAATGAATTAATCCATGTTGTCAGAACAGCAAATTAATGATCAAAATATTTTTGGTGACTCATATCCTCCAGTTCCAGTAAATCTCAGAATCTCATGATGAACAAAGTTAGAGGAAATGTTTCAAATTAAATTTCATGGAATTATGAAACGTAATGACTTCAATGATCCCTGGAGAATAATATGTCTGCTCTTGCAATGGCAACTTGTCACGTGCCTCCATCACTCCCAGGCTAATGACTCTGTAATGGCACCATTTATCCATCCAGCCTCATTGAGTACAGTGCGGAGCCCGCCAGGTTCTTCGCCTGGTAGTTGACGCTTCGAGCACTCGATTGCGAGCGGAACAGTGGAGAGCTGTTGAGTCGCGAAGCTGCCGGTGATTCTAACAGATACAGTGGCATCAAAAACAACAAACAAGTCAAATGTTTCCTTTTCTACCTTTTCTTCTATGATTGGACTTTGATCGACAAGAGCGATTATAAATTAACTTCTAACCTTAAGTTGCTGTCACATATACTCTTCAACTTTTGGATCATTAGAAGGGAAATATAGGTTCCTTTCATAACTTTAAAGTTACACCATAAAGTGTTTTTTCAAAATGTGATTACATTATCTGCTTTCTATCATATTGGCATTTGCTTGCCGATATATAAAACGTTTCTCTTAATGAATTAACAGTGTAGGACATACATACATTTATGTTTAACATTACAATGTTTATTTTTTTGATTAAAGTTCTATACTTTTATTTATAATGAGTTTATTGAGTTTATTACTATGAATGATCAAGTCTACATTTCAGTTCTTTTTCATAAGGTTTTGATAATGATTAATTGTTAATATATCAGCCAATATATCTGTATCAGAGATTGTTACTGTCTAATATCAGTGTTGGCAGTTGCCTCCTAAAAACACTTATCTGTTGGGCTCTGTCAGTGCGGCTGTTGTCTAGAACCAATTACTATGAAGTATGGGAGGAGGGACAAACCAAATTATTAAAAGGTTCAACCAAACCAAAGTAAGATAAGCCCACCGTTTGTTAATCAGGGTATCGCATCACGTCATCAGCATCATGCCTCTAAACTGAGTGGAGTGTTTTAATTTATATACATTTACATTATTTAAAACTTTAATAGAGGCAGACACTATTCTACGAGTGTTACCTGGTAAGCTTGACTTAAGTAAAAGCAACTGGCTTTGTAATATGTTGAATCTATTAGCATAAATATCATTAAGCAACAATTACATGATGAATGTGGTTCATTATTTGCTGAAAATTATGCCAAGTATTCATGTGATTTGCATGTGCAGCCTGTGCTTCTCAAATTATCAAGTGATCGGGGGAGGTGAAGTCATGTCTAACACAGCAGACACAGAATACAACACAGTGAGCTGAGCTGTTTTATTTTGTGACAAAATAAGGGTTATACAGAGACTCAATAAGTTTTCATATCTTTTTTTTATTGTCAGCCAATATTGATGTCTAGATACCCCAGTCATCAGGGCTGTTTTTATAAATACTGATGTGAGGCGTCCCAAACCCCCAATGCAATTCCACAAATGTGACAATTTGTTTTTCTACTTTTTCTGAATTCATTTAACTGTTAAAATACATTTCTTGTCTCTCGTCTGTAAAAGCCTTTTCCTGCAAGGCCAAAAATATAATGTTAATCAAGAAATACAGAATCCATTCATGTTTTGGCCCATTCATGTCTTTGGGCTCAAACTGTCAAATCAAACACTAATATAAGAATCTGTATGAAAAACTTATCATGTAAAGCACTGGAGCCAACTGCCTGCTGATCTGATAAAGCTCCATCCACTGTGGTGTTTAAAACCTGACTGAATCACAAGTGACATTAATTGGACTATTTTACAAGCTTATACCATTATTGTATTTGATCATTCAACTTGCTTTTTCTCCTTCAACTTGTTAATTCACATTTATCCATTTCATTTCTTACAGCTCTTTTAATCTCTTTTCATTTAGCTTGATTCTTTTCAACATCGTACTTTCTGATTTTAAATTGATTCCTTTTGTTTCGTTTTTAACGCCCTGTACATCACCTTGAATCTACCTCTGTGTATAAATAGTGCAACACCTGCCCTCATTGAATTGAGCAGCAGAGATTACACCTGTCACATGTTCAGTTAACATAAAGATCGACCTCTTTGGTTTCAGCACCACTGACAGCAACCAGCAATGTCTCTATATTATTGAGTTTCAGCACCATAGACAGGTAAAGCAAACCCTCCTCAGCTGTGGGAGAGTTTAAAAAAAAAGAGTTTTGCAGTTTCCAACTTCACATTAAGTCACAGTCACGTTGTGTTTTATGCAAAGTACACTTCCTACACGTTGCAACTCAACGCCTTCTCACTTTATGGTTTCTTAAGAATCTGAAAGCACACAGCCTCTCTGCTCCTGCAGCTGTTAGACCTCCACTAGTTTGGCCCACCCTTGTCCACCCAAGCCCCCGGTGGTGGTGGGCTTTACACCCACAGCCTCGGTGTGAATATTTACCTATCAGCAAAAAAAAAAAAAGTCACGACACATCTTCTTCTCCTCACCCACCTCGGTTCCCTTCCGCCCTCGTACAGTCCGGACCCACCCCTCACTGCCTGCCATGACCGTCCTCCACAATACGAGCCTGTGTTCTTTGTACCTCCCCTTCCTCGCCCTCAGTCTGTGCGTCCCAGCCTCCCTTCCTAGATATCCCTAGCACACCACTCCGCCCGCAAACGGCTCCTACGGTGAGAGGAGGGGGTGAAAAAAGAGGAGAGAGGAGAACAGTTTCAAACACGTCGGCATAAATCTCGCATCCAGAGGCTCCCTTTCTTTTTTGGTGTTGCTTTCTCCAGCTCTCTTCTCTCCTGACTGGACTTCGCCACTTTCTATCCCTCTGCGCGCCAATGCCCGAGACCGCGCCGAAACGACGGATTTTCCCCCCTCGAGCATGACAAGGATTGCCAAATCATCCGCAATCCAACATCACCGACCGAGCCACCAGCATGAGCACTGGATACATATGCTCCAGCAGAAGTTGTTGGCCGGAGAACTAAGACATCTTGGAGCACAGATACAGCGGAGAGGGAAGAGTCAGTTTTAGGTAAGTGCGGCTTGGACCTCTCTTTCCATCATTTGGAGATATCTCGCAGATATTTTTCTACCACGAGGTATGTGCTCCGGTAGGCAGGGCTGTAGTATGGCACAATTATGGCGATGTTGCGTGGTCAGCATGTTACTGAGGTGGCCGGTGATGTCCTTTGCGGGATGGAGGCTTTTTTCCCCCTATAATAAATAATCGCTCTGCTGGTCCGTCGACGTTGAGGCTCTTTAAAAAGACCACATCATGCGCCTCCTCATTACCGTATCATCTCCAAACATTAGGCAAACGACTCGAATTATATGTGTACTCGACTGCACACGAACGATTGTCCCCCCCCACCTGCACGGTGTGAGACAGCATCTTTCCCGAGGTGATGCTGCAGAAGTGCGGACACGTACACGAAGGAGTACCGAACACATGGCGGAGAAACAGTGGGGAGAATTTGGTTGGGTTCGCACATCATTACGCAGAGCTGCCGGTGGATGAATGGCATTAGAAGAGGCAGAGAGTGAAGGTGCGCTGGCAGGCCTGCGCATCAGTATTTGTATTCAGGAGAACTCCATTCGCAGTCCAGTCCTGGTTGTTTATTTAATTCTTTCTCATCCATGTTGATCAATTCATCCCATAAACTGCTGCTATCCATGAAAGTGTCACCCCCATCAGTCTGGATGTTGGACCGCGAGTTGCTGTCACGCTTCCTGTGATTTTTATTTTTATTATTTTTCTCTCTGGATTCTATTTTATGGATGAATCGCTGCCTCTAATGATTTCTGTGACAGCAGATGTAGTCAGCTGCCTCTCTGTGTTTATGTGGACGTGCTGGTCTGCCTTGTACGTGGCTCTGAGCGCATGAAAGGGCGCGTGCACGACAGCGAGCACGTACATGCTTGTTTTCTTGTACGCTGTCTATGCATGTGTGTGTGTGTGTGTGTGTGTGTGTGTGTTTCACCACTGAGGCAAAGTTGGCCGTTCTCTGTTCCCCTCAAGTTGCTTTGATTGCTGTTCCACTGACTAACTGCGAGGGGAGCTCATGCACTTTTACGCTGGGTGTCATCATGTGGCTAAAGGCAAGATAACTGTGCATGATACTGATACCAACTCTATGAAATTAGAGAAGCAGCTTCTGTTTGAAATTGGTCCGGAAGCATTTATCTGCACTTCCCTGACTGCCACTGCAGCTTTTTTAGTTTTGTTTGTCATTGTGTCTGTGTTCGGTAAATGGCTGAGTAATTACATTCATGTAGAAACCAGAAATGTATTTACAGAAAAAAATGTGCACTTCATGCATTCATCATTGCATGAGGTTTAGAGTAGGACTCTCACCCTATTTAAGAAAAAAATGAATGGGCCAAAATGCAAGATCTTAATCTAACTCAAAGTCTGTTTAGCTTAGCCTTTAAAGAGCAAGTCTCCAAACTGTCTGCGAGGCACCCAACTGTGAATAATCCCTCCATACTGAATGTGAACTTTGAGTCAAGCTTTACTGTTTGAAATTAACATTATGCTGACAGCAAATCAATCCACGCCGCGATATGGTTCTGCCTCCATGTGCGGCGCAGAAAATTGCACCGGCGGCGGAAATGGCAGGAAGAAAAAGCCGGCCCCTATTCAGCACGCCTCATTCAATCCGGTGGCCTTTTCAATGGCAAAAACGCTGGCAACATGTAATCATTTTCCCAAGGAAAGCATTCCACATGACATTGCCGAATGGAAATGCCAGCAGTGGCTCAAAACTATATCATGTCATGGCTTTAGATGACCTGATGATGATAATGATGATGATGCCTCCAGGGTCTGGAAAGAGAACTTCGAGCAACAGCAACTTAAGTCGACTGATGACTTCTCCCAAAGAATGTAGCTATGATTCTTAAAATAAAAGGAACACCCATCAGTATAATTTGAAGGAATGGATAATAGTTTATGCATTCACACTATGTATAAATATATATATATATACACACACTGCTGCTCTCTCCCCTTGTGTATATACATACGTTTTTACAAACATTCTTTGTGGTGGATAGAGAACACTATTGGCAGAACCCACGCTCGCTCCCTCTGTCTGTCTCTCTCTTCCTCTCTGTTCTCTCTTTGTATTTCTGTACTGGCACGGCATTGTTTTTATGTGGGTGCTGGCTGCAGCTGTAACGGCCAGAAGGCTGCCTCCCAAGAGGTTTGGGAAAAAAAAGAATCTGTTTTTATCAAAAACAAACAACAGGGTCCCATAATGACATGTGACAAAATCTCACACAAATGCTGGCGAGCTTACAATATTTTTGGAAAAGCAGCTGAACCATTTGACCTCCACTGTGGCCGGTGTGACCCATGCACCGCTGATATAACTCCACATGAGACCCCATGCTTGTGCAGAGTAATGATGAAATCAAAATAATTCTCAGCTTGAGTTTCATAATTAAAGGGTTGGTAGCGGATCATAAGTGGTTAATTGCATTCCTGCACAGCATCAAATTTCAACCATGTTAAACCTTAATTAAAAATTCCAGGAGGGAAAGGGTATTTTTTGTTTTAGTTCCTCACAATGGCCTTTTAAGAAAACTTTCATCTGAACACCCTCCGCTCAACTGTAGAGAAACACTGACTCATTGTGTGAGTCGGCATCTGCAGTTTTGTGAAGGAATGTTTAGAAATTCATAACAGGATCTGCCACTCTCCACCATCTTTGTCAGTTACCGAAGCCACAAAGTATGGGCACAGTGTGAGGCCTCCGGGGAGCTGAGAGTGGGCTCGGAAAATCATCACAACGGGGACAATTTTATTGTTACAAACTACTTAGGCATTCAAAACACACCATTCTCCATCTGAATGCAGTGGCCTCACTCTGTTCTCTCCCTGTGTCAACCTCTTTCTGTGCTCGCAGCAGGCGACCGCAGACTGGATGTTTGTGAGTGAACAGAAAGCACCGCATTTTATGATACAATCAAGAAATGCATGGCACATCAAAAGTTAGTGAGCAAACAGAAATCTATTATTTATTAGCCAAACACACATGCACCTTCAGCTCCTGAAAGCAAAGGCTGCTGCAGCTCGCGTTCCAAGTGCTGATCAACCTGAACGCGATGTTACTTAAAAAATCATTAATATTAAATTCATTCATGGGAGCTGCACCTGTGGAGTGTTTTGGAATGGATTAAAACGGGCAATATTATTTGATTGTGCTTGGAGTGTAGTATTTGTGAGAGAAAAAAAAATCACGACATCCCAGAGTTTCTAATTGATACTGATGTTGCTGGTAAAGTTTGAGTAGTAGGTATCATCCACCCTAAATTGCCTTCACTCATAAATATAATTCCTCTAAATATGCCTCATGTTTTTATCAAGATCCATGAATTATTAAAAACTCCCAATGTTAAAGTAAGATATCTGTGCACATAAATAATGGCGCTCTTTCTTGGCCCATGTCCCATCCATCCACCGAGTACCACAGAAACCGCTCAGTAGTTTTTGCACAATTCTGCTGCAGGGGTGAAAACATACACATTTTCTCAAGCACATGTTTTCAAGACTTTTGCTTTCAAATATGCAAAATGCAGAGCTCACATTTTGGTTTAATACCCTCTGCACCTCTCTGCAACCGTCCATCTTGACCTTACACGTAGTAGTTGCCAGGGAGGAGACACTGGATTGAAAAACGAAGCTAAATTGAGCACCTACAAACCCAACCCCTGTGTCATTAAGCACTGCCAGAGACTTAGTTATTACTCCATAAAAAACATGATAACTCTGACAACACAGTAATAACCACAGAAATTCATCTTTCCTGACACCCCCCTTGGTCTTCGCTGTCTTGCTGATAGCACCGGTTATATTTCTTGTTTGAATTTTCTGCCCTGTGTTGCAGTGGTCTTTCACATCGCAGCGCACAACAGAGGCCTGCGCTGGCCGGTGATTACACGTAGAAGCTTTAACTTGATTTGTTTCACTGTTGCCTCCCATCTTCCCTCCAGTGGTGTAATTTGATCTGATCCAGTGGAGAAGTTATGTCTGAGGCTTTTCAAACTAAATAAAAGTCCTCTCGTTTGCAAAATATCATAGGGCCCCGATTTGTTTGGAGATGAAATGCAGTTGTGATCATGACTTTGCAATTAGCTAATTTTGTTGAGGAGATTTTCTTTCCCATCTGCATCTGTTTGGTAATTTTGTGGGCAGCCGTGGTGTAAACCCATTTCAAGGGAAATGTAATACTGTCTGGATTATGTTCTATATCAGCGAATTATGTTGATATAAACTTTCACAGCCAGAATATTCACAAATTCACAAACATATTCTTCACTGTGATTGTCTTGTTCCCCTTTTAGCAAATGCATTCACAGGTTATTTATGTAGTTCAGCTGCTTTTATCAGTATTTCTCCATTATATATGGATTCGACGACTGTCCTAGTGATGATGGACCCAAAGACAATTATCACCCATCTCTGCAGTTTCCACTTAGTTCATTGCTCAGGCTCCAGGGCCCGTAACTTTAATGTTCTCACTCACTCCCGATGCTCACACATACATCACCACGACACACTGGCTCCACATAATAAAGCATTTAGCAGCTAAACAGCCAAGTAACAGGGAGATAAGTGATTTTTCAGTGCACAAGTCTTCAAACGGACACAAACACAACTCCATAAAAGCCAGTGATGCTCTGTCGGCTCAATATTGGAGAGAAATTTGTTCCATGTTGCAAAAAAAAAATTATTAATGCAGGCACAACCTCCAGCAGTAGAAGTTAAAGAAAACTCCAGTCCAGTTACTTTTACCATATCTTCAAACTGTAGCCATTACGATCAGGATTTGCAGATTCCTTCAACCCCAAAACACTCACACAATCAGGCAGCTTGTGTGAAAGATAAGCTTCTAGCCACTTGCTTTACCAAAGCTTTTGCACAAACTTCTCCAGACTTCTGCAGCACACATCCAACCGGTTGGTTATAGCTCAGTTTTATTGTCCACTGTGCCAAAAGTTTAATCAGGCTCCACATGGAAAACAATA